CTGCTCCGTCGTCTTCTGTTTGGGCACGGGGCGCGCGTACCGCCTCCTGTGCGGGAAGGGCCATCACGGGAACGGCTCCAAGCGAGAGCTGAGCGTGAAGTGCGAGTCCGTCGTCCCGCGCGGCTCCGCGGCGAACGCGGCGAACGAAGTGGTCGTCGAGGTCGCGCACTCGACGTCGGTCGCGCGGGTGTTCCAGCAGGGCTCGCGCGTCAGCGTCGAAGAGAAGGGCGCCGAGAGCCTCCCAGCGCGGATCCTCTCGTACGAGGCGCCCAGCGCCTCTCACGCCCTCGGCCGCCTCGCGCTGGCCGTCGAGTCGGACCGCCACGTCTCCGCCGCGAGCGACGCCGTCGCGCGCGGAGGCGCCGTCGTCAGAAAGGAGCGCGAGCTCAACGCCGAGGACATGAATCTGCCAGCGGCGCGCGGCCAGCGCCCGGTCCCGGCCGTGACCGCGCGCGCGGCCGCGAGCGCGAGCGCGCGCAGACGCCGACCGCCCGTGTAGGTGCCGATCAGGACGATCCAGCGCTGGCACGACAGCAAAGGGGCTTTCACTGCTTCTGGGGTCTATAGCCCGTGCTTGCTCGCGTTCCAGCACATCGCCATGGGCATGCCCACGCCCAGGATCACGTCGCCGCGCTCCGTCAAAATCCCCGTCGCCGTCTTCTTTGACGAACGCGGGCTGTCCCAGGGGACGTACGCGGCCGAGTGCCGCGTCACGGACGTCGACCTCAAGCTCGACGCGCCCACGGTGATGTCCCAGGGCGAGTCCCAGCCCGTCCTCTCCTTCGCGGTCCTCGACGTCGTCGTCGCGCACGGGCGCCTCGCCAAGGACGCCGTCGTCCACGTCTGCCTCGTGATCGACGAGGAGCGCCGTGATCCCGTCGAACTCGTCGTCGCGGAGCCATGGCGTGCGCCCGCCGACGGCGTGGAGGCCGCGGACCTCGTGCTGCGCCTCGACGAGGAGCTCCTCGCGCAGAGCGCGGCGATCTCGTCCGCGAGGGCGACGCGGACGGTCCCGAGCTACGAGCTCCGGGGCATCGACCCGCCCATGCCCGCGCGCGAGGTCCAGCGCCTCTATGCCGCCAGCCCGAACGACTTGTCCATCGCGTTGAAGAGCCGCGAGTTCGTGAGCGACGTGTGCGAGTACGTCGTGAGCGACGTGAGGGACACGTTCTCCCTGAACGTCGCGACGGAGTACGTCGCGCGCAAGCTCAACGGCGAGGGCGTCGCGGCGAAGGTCGGCAACATCGGGCAGCAGATCGAGTCGTGCAACCACTGCATCCGCAAGGGCACGGTCTGCACGCACTCGGGCGGCCCGGGCGAGCCGTGCGACCAGTGCGTCAACGACCCGTCGTGCACCTCCGCGGCCCCCTGCGTAGCGCTCTCGACCGTGCACTTCGCGTCGGACCAGGCCACCGAGCAGCGAGCGGGCATGCCCATATACAACGACAGGATGGAGTTTGAGGAGAACTTCATCGCGCGCGAGCAGCAGCCGGAAGGCGTCGCGTGGTATCGCCGGGGCGGGTTCGGCCTGCTGCACTTCTGCAAATCCATGGTCGCCCACGTTCGAAATTATCGCTCCGCGAGCTCGAAGGGGACCTTTTGCACGACGATGCTTGCCGCGATCGGCACGAGCAAGAACGCGACGCTCGCGCGGCGGCTCTGCGAGTCGGTGACGACGGACGTAATCTTCTACAAGGACCGGCACAGCGACGAGGTCGCGTACTTGACGGTCTGCCCCGAGGTCCAGGGCGTCCTGCGCGACGCGGAGCGCGTCAAATTCGAGGTCGTGCCCGAGTGGATCCGGCCCTGGTCCGCGATGGCCGCGGAGCACAAACTCGTCCGACGGCCCGTCCACGTCGCGTCCAACACGAGGGGCGAGTTCGTCTTCGTCGACCCCGAGACGGGCGTCTGGATGGGCGACAGGCACAGCCCGTGCCGCATCCGCAAGCTCGTCGAGCCGCGGGCGTCGAAGTCGCCGACGGGCGTCGCGGTCCTCGCGGGCGTCGCGGTCCTCGTCGTGCGTCCGGCGCAGGAGGAGTACGCGTTGGTCGCCGACGTCGAGCACGAGCGCATCATCGTGATAGACCACGCGGAGAGCGTCGGGAAGAAGCACACGGTCGAGGCGTTGGACCTGGGCTCGTCCAAGATCCGAGCCGAGGGGCTCGACGTCTTCAGCATGGGCACGAAGACGTACTTGGCCTTCGCGGACGTGCGCGAGCTCACGGTCAAGCTCGTCGAGTTGTCCGTCGGCAAGACGGCGAAGCGCGGCACGTTGTTGCCCGAGCTCGGGTGGACCGGGCTCGTGCGGCCCACGGACGTCGCGTACCACGCGGGGCTGAACGCGCTCCTCGTCGCGGACGGGCGACACGTCGTGGCCCTCGAGTTGTCGAACGGCGCGTCGCGGGCCGCGAAGCCCTGGGCGTGCGGCTTCTCCAAGGCGTACGGCATCGCCGTGGGCGCGTCGGGGAACGTCCTCGTGACCGACGCGGGGGCGCACAAGTGCCACGAGTTTGCCTCCGACGCCCGACCCGTCGCGGTCTGGGGCAGCGGCGCCCCGGGCAACGCCGATGGCGACGCCGCCCACGCGGCTTTCGACGAGCCGCTAGGGGCCAGCGCCGAGCCTGGCACCACGAGCTGGTACGTGTGCTGCTACGGCGGCGCGCACGAGTCGGGCTCGGTCTGCGCGCTCACGCCGACCGCGTTCGCCGTGGAGTACATGTCCGCCGTCGAGCAGGTCTACCTCGCGACGGGGTACATGCCGAAGAAGATGGACCAGAGCCAGCGCATGGCGCGCCAGCTGACCTTCTTGGACGGGATCCAGTGCCTGCGAGGGGCCCGGGATTACTTCGTGTCCAACGACGCGGCCAGACGCCGCCTGATCGCGAATTTCGAGGCCATCGCCGGGCCAGAAGGCGGGCCCTGCACGAGGACCGTCCAGGGCTTCGACATCACCGTCGAGTCGCTGGAGCAGTGGCCTCGGCAGTGCGAGGAGCTCGAGCACGGCGGCGCCGCGCTGTTGGCCGCGTCGCGGACCTCCGCGTTCGTGAACGAGGGGAAGGTCGAGAGGGCCTTCGGAGATTTTGTCCTCTCCAGCCCCTCCGACATGCCCACCCAGCGGCAGTACAGTGGGGGCAAGGGCAAGGACATGATGAACGCGATCGCGCGCCGTTGCCGGAACCGGTACTCGTGGCACACGGACCGGTGGACGCAGTACCAGCAGGCCGAGAAGGCCGACGTCATGGCTGACAACGTCCAGGCCATTTTCCGGGAGGAGGCCGAGCGGAAGGCGCCGCAGCGCTTGAGCGCGGCCGAGCTCAAATCGACGCAGTCGCTCCACGAGATCGTCATCGCCGCGTCGCACATGGCCGCGAGCCAGAGGACACAGACCGTGCGGAGCAGCTACAAATACCGCCTGGGGTTCCAGCCGCCGATGATGTGCAAGCAGCTGTACGAGGCGGAGCCCGGCGGACAGCGGTACTTGTCGTTCTCGAAGGCGCTCGAATCCATGGGGCCTGTTGTAGATCAAGGACGTGCTTCTCGCTCCACGCATGCGTTCCTTGTTGGTGATATTGTTTTTGCTATGATCGAGGGCGAAGACGCCGCTCTCTGGTGTGCCGCGCACACGACGGAGTCGCTCAAGAAGAGCAGCGCGACGGAGAGGAGGCAGATGACCATCTTCTGGGTCGAGCCGTGGGAGCACGCGGACGCGACGAGCCGCGACTTCGTGCTGACGGCGGACAGGGAGTTCATCTTGTACGGCAACTTGCTGAAGGACAGGGACGGGAACGCGATCGTGATCCCCATGGAGAAGTCGCAGGCCAAGTGGCATGACTGCTCGACGGTGTACACGTTCGAGCAGGACTTCCTGGAGTACTTGAACGTGAGGACGGAGGCCCACAGCAGAGGCTATCGCGAGGTCGATGGCGGCGACGCGGAGCAGGAGGTGGAGGACGACGACTCCAGCGCCGAGGAGGACGACGACCAGCAAGAGCGCCGCCGCGCGACACGGCGCGAGCGCGCGCCCGCACCCGAGACCCTGCGCGTGTTGACCTCGAAGCGCGGGCGCACGACCCGGGTCGTGAACTATAAGGACTAGTTCGGGTAGTCGCCGGGCGCGCGGCAGCAGCAGAAGTCGAACCCGTCGGCCGCGAGCGCCTGGAGCTGGGCCGCGAGCGCCTGCAGCTGCTCCGCGAGCTTCGTCGGCCCCGACTCGACGTCGCCGTCGAGCAACGCGAGCCAGCCGTCGCGGGCCGCGGCGACGCCGCCGTCGGGCGCGAGGTTCGGCCGGCCGCCGGTGCGCGCGCCGACTCCGCCGCGCCGACTCCGCGGCCGCGGCCGTCGCCGGCGCCCATGGGCATCCAGGGTGGCATCGCGCCCCAGGCGACGTCTACGCAGGACCTGGTGCGCCGCGGCGGCGGCCGGGGCCGGCGCGCGCGCGTCCGGCGAAGCCGCCGCCCTCGCCCCGAAGAGCATGAGGCCGACCACGAGCTCCGGCTCGCACGACGTCGCGCGCGCTCGCCTCGAGAAGCGACGAGCAGGCCCGGCCGTGGCGACGATTGTTCCTCGCCTGGAACGACGCGCGCGGCGTGCAGCGCTCGGGGCCGAAGCCGAAGAGCATGCTCTCGATCGGCGTTGGCTTCTCAGAGCGCCTGCGCCGCCACCGGCGTCGTCGCGGGTCGGCGTCGGCCGCCGGCCGACCTTCTGGCCATGACGAGTAGGGTATGGCGGTACTACTCAGCCGGATCGCTCGGGATCGCCCCGGATCGCCCCGGATCGCGCGGGATCGCTCGGGATCGCTTGGGATCGCTCGGGATCGCGCCGGATCGCCGCCGGGATCCCGGTGGCGCCGGCCCCTCGGCCGAAGTCGACCCCCGGCACGCGCGCGAGCCCGAGGCTGTGGAGCTTTGTTTCCCAGGACGACGTCGTCTCTCGCCGCCAGTCGACGGCCTGCCAACCAGCACCGCCGACTCGTGCGGACCTCGCGCCCCCCCTCCGGCGCCATGTCGATCCGCAAGGAGGTCGAGAAGATGAGCAAGCGCCCCGAGAACATGCACTGCGCCGACTGCCGCGCGCCCAAGCCCAACTGGGCGTCGTGCTCCCTGGGGACCTTCATCTGCTTCAACTGCAGCGGGCTCCACCGGGGCCTGGGCACGCACCTGAGCTTCGTGCGGTCCGTGACGCTGGAC